CATGCAAGGCAAGATGAGCATCTGAAGAATGCTGATACTGAGAAGCTTTGGAAGGCTAGCGATGCGCGCTCTAAAGTTTTGGCAGCACTGTCTCCTGCCGAAATCAAGAAACGTAGGTACTGAGACTGATTGCCGCGAGATGCTCGTGCGGAGCATCGTAGGGAGTGGAGCCTCGCAATAGGCAGTTACAATGAGCTGTGTATCAGTGTGCAATATAGAGGAACCTGGTCTGCTTGGCTTGAAGTCAGCTACTTGTGCGCATCCATATAGACATGCACTCTAATTGCTTTGCATCACTTGAACTTTCGCGAGCTTCCGCACTTTTGGGGCATTTTTGTGGGGTGGCTTCATACGAAGTCAAGTCTGATTGAGGGGACCTTTAAGCGCGGGCACGTGGCTAAGGCTTTGCAGGCAGCCGAAGTTGAAAGTCTATGCCTAGGCTTAGCAGCTAAGGCTTATTTACGTTCATTCCAGGCGCAAGCTGCGAGGCCTCATAGTTGCAGTGCGCGGGCTTGCCCGTGTTCAATCGATCGATGCTTGCTGGTCGCTAGAAAATCGATCGATGCTTGCTGGTCGCTAGAAATTCACGTGTCGCTGTGTGCTTTGACCCTTAATTTCCAGCCATGAGATTTGCTCTTGTATGGGTTGTTCTGCGCAAACTCTTTGCGCAGCTTGCAGAAGGCTCCCAGGGACCACGATGCACGGACTGTCAAATCAAGGTGTACTGAAGTTTCTGAAGATCGATTCGCTGTCTTAAGCAGAAAGCAGTAATGAAGTTCAGCCGCCTCGCCCATATCATCACTGCTCTGGTTGGTAGCTCCTGGGCAGACGATTAAACACCGCAAACTCAATCAACCATTATAAACCTAGAAGCTGTCAGGTTTCGGTGTCCTGTCCGAAGAGGACTTGGCCGATTGGCACGAACACTGTGCAGGCACGTCTACAACAACAGCTGCTTGCCTTGCTACTGCATATGCGAGCAACTCGAACAGGCCAACACCGACTCACGAACGGGGTTCTCTCCTTTGGCTACCGGGTCCGAGCTTCCGATGTGCTGCCCTCAATCTAGGTATGCATGTGTGTATGTGTGCGCATGCAAGTGGCCATACGTATGCATAAAAAGCAGTGTGAGTGGTTAATATTGTGTCTTCATGGGAAGCATTTTGGTGGCTACAACATATGCACACGAATGACGGTGGTTCTCGCGACAGGTCAAATACTCAAGGAAGATGGATTTGTTATCATCGTACGGCTTTTTGCTTGCGATGAACTCAGCTTTAGCCTCAGCGCACTGTGTCGATCTAGTGACTATAGTGTTCGTTTCCCGAAATTATGTTGGGGTTGAGGTACGCGCAACGAGGCGGTATGGGCTTCATTGGGTGGCATTGCCATGCTCCTCTTGGGTCTGGATGCAGCAGTCCCAGATGGCTGTTCGTTTTAATCAACTCCTTATAGCCTAGATTCAACTACAACCAAATCATGCTAACCAACTAATCTATAACCCGAGGGCCTAAACCCCGAACCCCGTTAACCCCAAACCCCGAACCCTAAGCTTCCTACACCGCAAAGCCCACATCCTCCAGCCAATCAGGTCTCGATCGAGCACAAAGAGACGGCGGCTTTCCCCCAAAGGCCTCGGACAGAGCGCGGAGTGTGTACACAACTTGTATTCCATCTCATATGGCTTGACGAGGCAACACACGCTTCAAGAAGGTTGCCCGGGCCAACCGACTCGTACGGCGAATTGTCTATTTGCTTGAACCTTAGAAAACAGGTAGCCTTTGTTGCGACGGTCACCCGTACATGAAATCCAGGCTGCAGTACATGTACCAGAAGAACGTGTACTACGTTCTCGAGAATCCTTCCTCAAGCCTCATGTGGTGCTACAAGCCACTTCGTGCTCGGTGCTTAACATAGTCTTTATCAGAAGTTGATCCCCTATACCTTGACCATACAAGGCTCTGCTGGCACGTCACCGGGCCACGACGGTGAAGATATCCTTGGGAGCTTTCGGCTCTCTTACCCAGAAACACGTGGAGTTGTATGGGACTTGGCCGGGGCTCGGAGAGCTGGCTCACGAGAGTCGCAAAAGGTCTGGCCCCGTCTTGCCGGGATCTCAACTCTCAGCTGTCAGCATGTGTGCATGTCTCAGTTTCTGATGCAGTTTTTGTTTGTCATGGTGTGTACGTAGGGGCACATCTGCAGGTATTCACTTGCATGCATAATTCCAATTACCTAGTGTTTGGTATGTATCGTGTGTCCATGTGATCTGTAACACTACTTGTGTATGTCAATTGCCAACCAACAAACCAACCAGCAGCCAGCCACGAAACCAACCACCCAGCCAGCCAGACATCACATACACATATGTATATATATATATATAGATATATATACACACACACATACACGTTTGTATCCTTTCTTCCTTCCCTCCTTCCTTCACCCGTACATACGTACATACATACGTGCATACGTACTTACTATATGCCCAGCGGTCTATACAGACCTACATACATGCATATCTACATACATACATACATACATACATGCATACATGCATACATATATACATGCATGCATACACATGCACATATGCTACTAGAGACATATATATACACATATATATATATATATATATATATAGTTTCATATTGTGTGGGTTTTTAGTTTCACGATCAGCATCATGCATATAGTACTATCTATGGATTTCTCTTTAAGTTGTACAGTGAGCTGGCTCTGTCAACATAGTTAGTTTATCAACGTGCCATGCACACGTGTACGTATGTGTGTGCACGCCCATCTCCTCCTCCCTACTCCATCTCTCGCTCCCTCTCTTTCTCTTTCGCTTTCGCTTTCTCTTTCTCTTTCTCTTTCTCTTTCTCTCTCTCTCTCTCTCTCTCTCTCTCTCTCTCTCTCTCTCTCTCTCTCTCTCTCTCTCTCTCTCTCTCTCTCTCTCTCTCTCTCTCTCTCTCTCTCTCTCTCTCTCTCTCTCTCTCTCTCTCTCTCTCTCTCTCTCCTCTCTTTTTCTCTCCCTCTCTCTCCCAGCCCGACGGATGAACAACGAGTACAACTTGAGGTATTACCTTACATAGTGAAACAACAGCTACTAACTTGTTGCCCTTACAGTAGCCGTTTACACCAGCAGCGGAACAGGAAACAGCTGGAATCTGTTCCTTTATTACATCCCAGCCATGTATGTGAAGCACTAAGCAAGAGTCCGTTGATATGTGCGTGTGTGCGTGTGTGTCTCCATATGTGTACTCGTGCAGTAATATATATGTATTTACGAACCACGGAGGGAGGGAGGCCCGGGAAGGGAGAGAGGGAGAGAGAACAAGAGAGATCAAACAAATCAGCAAGAGGGTGTAACGGGCCAACAGAATCGCAAGGGGTTTGTTCCTATCGGGTCGGACGCAAGTCGGTTGGCATTTGGGTGCTATGGGAAGGGTCTCTACCGCGATATTTCGCTAGTCTCGATCGAACCCATCGATGGGTTGGCCTGCTTTATCGTGCTGAGGTCGAAAAAACTTCGCCGGATCAGAAGCTGGCTAAAACTCGACACGGTTCGGCGGTACAAAGATAAAAGAGGAAAGGCTCGAGTCGCCGGGGGCTTGGCGTTGATCGGTGCTCAGGACGAAGCATAGGATAGTTTTTGTCGATGATTGAGGATGGGGGCCGAGACTTACGAGCTACCGAAGCATACCCAGCCGGCCTGGGCTTTGCTGTGATCCCGGCATGTGATGTGTACGATTCGCAACCCATTAATGCCGTGGCCGGTGTGCTGCAGGTTGGCCGCTATATGCTCAACACGACGACACAGGACTTGCGTGTAGCTGAGCCAGACGAAGGTATGTCTTTCAGAGATGAGGGCGATGACTCCTCAGATTCCGGCCTAGGAGACGTCCTCTGAAATTCAGGGTATGTGCTAGGCATTCGCCCGTTTATCGATACATCAGGAAGCTGTTATGTTTGAACACTACAGGTTTCAGCCACCCTAGGAAGCTGAAAGTTCAACACAGCAGTACTGCTCTCGTACACAAAAAAAGCAAAGGTTTAGTCGCACTCGTAGGCTCCATTAGATAAATAGATAAAAAAATATATCTATATATATATATATAGATCCATATAGCTACCAATATACGTATATGTATATATATATATATACACATATGTGTATGTATATTATATGTACATGGATATATATATATATATATATATATGCACACTCATACGTATATATATATATATATATATATATACAGATAGATAGATAGATAGATAGATAGATAGATAACCCACAACCCCGGTACGTCACAATCCCCAACCCTAAACTATTTTCGTCTGTAACCCGGAATATATAATATATAAAATATTTATTTATTTAATTATTATTTTGTTGGTGCGTGTCCAAACGTGTCACCGGCCACGTGCCTTAAACCAACCGGCCGCATTCAATGTACACTGCGTGCCGTGCCGTGCCGTGTCGTGTCGTGTCATCAAATAATTTATTTTAAAAAGTTTAAACAAATAAATATTTAGGTGCCTGCGTGTCCTGGCGTGTCCGATCGTGGCGTGTCCTAACGTGTCCTAGCGTGTCCTAGCGTGTCCTGGCGTGTCCTTGGGCCATGTCCTCGGCGTGTCCTGGTACTAGGTATAAGTTCGGGTCCTAGTATTCTGGTATTCTGATACGAGTATAGGTGCCGGCGTCTATGTACTGCACAGTGTACTTCGGATCGGTGTGCTGATGGGGTCGTTTTTGATAGGCCGGATTCTGGGGTTTAAGAGTCGATGCCTGCGATCGCACATTGGCAGTGTCCACATAAGCACTGCTGCTTGACTGCTTGGTCGACTTAAGATCGGCTAAAGCAGAAAAAGCTGCTCTCTGGTCGCAAAGTGCAGGCTTGCCTTAACAGGTTAGCCCTGGCGCAGTTGGTCATGCCGTTTGCACCACGAACATAGCGGATCGGGACTTTATTTGTTTTCCCTAGCTGCTCAAGGCAGTGCTGTGTTTGCGTGACCGATCTGTCACCATGGCACACGAGGCTTCTTGGTCTGATGACCAATGGAATGGTCATGGGTGGGGCTCCTGGACGTCCTGGGATTCGAAGGACCAGGATTGGTGGTCCCAGCCTGACTGGGGCTCCCAGGGCCGTGCTGGGTCGGGTGCGGACGAGCACCGGCCCGGTACGGAAGAGATTCGCGCAGCGAGCGCGAAGAAGGGGCAGGCAACGGTCCCGGCCAAGGGGGAGAAGCAGACTACGGGTAACGGGAAAGGAGAGAAGTCAAAGGAGAAGGGTAAAGGAGCTGGGGACACGGGCAAAACGGACATGCGGTTCGGTCTGACAACCAAAGCAGGTGTGGAGCAACTGTTTGGGGCGGCTCTGCGCAAAAAGCCTCCATCGGAGGCTTCCAAGCCGGAGGTTAGCAACGCCAAGGCCGATGGGGCCATAGTGGAAGCAAAGGACACAGATGATCATGATGGAGATGAATGGCAGGAGGAGCCGGAGGCCGAAGAAGCAGCCACAGATGAGGAGGACGGCGATGATGACGAAGAGGATGAATATGGTGATGAGGAAGCGGAACAGGAGGAGCACAAGGGTGATGAAGCCCCGCAGACACCCAAACCCAAGGCCCCCTACCGAAGCCTGCTCTCCAAAGGCCCGCTGATGTGTGTGTGTGTATGTGTGTGTCACGAACATGTGTGGGGTGAGTACAGACATGCTCTTATTACACGTCGTGGCACATGAAACCCCTTTTCGGATCCCGTCGGATTAGAGTTGAGTGTGTGATGACATATGATGTGATGCACCCCTTGAAGGTGCTTCCTCAGCGGGTAATGCTTCCACGACATCTACGGATTGCCCTGCCTCTCCCTTTGCAGCCTCGAGTCCACCTGGCGCCTGTTTTCTTCATCCTACCACTAGCCCCTATAGAGTGTGCATACCTGATCATACCCGCCAGGTCACCCCACTACGCCTTCCCCAACGCCGGAATCTCAATCGCAAGCTGCAACCACCTTCTAGCTGCAAAGCTGAAGTACCGCTTCTATTGATGCCAGGGGTGCCCCTGCAGACCACAATCTCATCCGGCAGATGACTTCGTTGTCGGTGAGGCCAGTGCCTCGGATCTTGGCTAACCCAGCTTTCGATCTCCTCTCTAAAGCCCTGAGTCATCTACCCAAGGTCCGATGGGGTGGGCGAAGCTCCAGCCCTCGCTCCACTGGGCATATCGGAGGGAAAGGGTAGCAGAGTTGCTCGTGTGCGCTGCTTAACACCGGAGGAGAAGGAGGCTGTGTCGAATATGACAAGCTACCGGCAGATGGACAAGAGTGAACGCAAGAGGCAGTTTGCTGCCTTAGACCGGCGGTTCAAGGACCACTCCACCTTACCTCCGGGACTACTTGAGCAGTACCAAGCGGCCTTCGGATCCTCCGATAGGAAATTCGAACTTCTGAGCCTGGGATGTTGGAATATGAGTATGCATGGTTCGGGTTGGGTCAGGTGATTCTAATAGCTTTCCTTAGAGGCTTTAAGTTTCTGGTCAGGCTTGTGTAGATCCGCGAGGCCACCATTCGCTCATTATCGAAGTTATGTGGGGCAACACAAGCCTACAGGTGTACATGCAGGCATGACGAGAAAACTCTGTATGATCCTGAATGCATACATACGCACCATGCATGCATACATGCATGCATGCATACATGCATACATTCCTACCTACACACATACATAATTTTCTATGTATAACTAAACACGTGTATAAACAGTTTACATGCGTGCAAACATGTTTACATAGATACACTTACTAACATATGTAAGTTCGAATGTATATACCTATACGTATGCATAGACATATACGTCAACATGCACACGTACATACTTTTTACATACATACACGCATACATGTGGGAATACCTATGTACATACGTACACACAAATACATTAACACATGCACGCTTGTATACATACCCAGGTACGTGCACATGCAGATAAGATGTGCATACATAAATCCATACATAAGTGCATATATGCATACATAACATAGCACAACATAACATTATATACATCCGAGCAAATGAATACATGCAATTAAGTGCCTCAGTTGCATGTAATAAAATCTAACACACATACACGCACATACATACGTACATACATACACACATATGAGTATACTTACGTGCACACGTACTTACATACATACAGACATACGTGCATACGCACACACATATGATGCTCAGGAAGTCATTCATGGTGGACCCCTCGATGCAGAGCTGTGCTGTGACCACAGAGTTCAAAGAATCCCATCAGCGGTCAGGGGAGGATGTGTACGAGGAGCTGCCGCTCTTCATGCTGGAGGACATCTACAAGACTCCAGAACAAAAGCAGTGGCTGAAAGACGTTATCGTTGCCCGTCACAGCCCCAGATCGAAGTAAATAGCCCAAGTCACAATCTGTTCATCATATTGATTGATTCTACAAGGCCAGGAGGGCAAACCCCACCCACAGGACATCTGTGCGCTGCCAGTCGATCATGTTGCTCAATGATTGTGCTTGTAGCATGCGAGACATAAGCCTTAACTCTTTTGCTAGGATCCGACAAATCCGCGGGCAAGAGTCTACGGGCACTTCGTGAAGCATGCTGACAAGAACAAAACCAAAACAGATATTTCATCAGGAGTAGGTGCATCTTCTGATCTTGGAGATGGTGATGCTGGCCTCGCAGCACGACAGCTCCTGAGCGAGACGATCACGGGACAGGGAGCTCTCTTCACCGACTCGAGCAAGGGCTCGCATGGTGGGGGCAAGAAGGGTGGCAAAGGCAAGTCGAAGACGCCGCGGCAGGCTAGGGGTGATTCCGGGGTGATCACGGGTGGGTGCGATAGCTAAATGATTTGCACCAGATCATGCTTATTTTACCAGGTCTCTGAAGAGGAGGCCGTGCGGAAAGAGCTCAACAAAGATCTCACGGCCATCACAAACTTGATGAGCAACTGTAGAGCAGCCTCAATGGCGGTTTCCGCCATGCCATGCACTGCAGAGCTACAGAGCGATCTCAAGGAGAAAATCGTGATGGTTAAGCAGCACCAAGACAAGATTGAGGAAATGGTTTTCGGAAAGAAGTCCCTTGCCAGCAATTTAAGCCAGCACTCATCACAGTAATCGTTATTTCTCAGAAACTTAGCAAACCTGAGATCATGTTGAAACCCTGGAAAGCAGCCGGTACCAGCTACCAGTACGAAAGTGTGCGTCACCGGCCAATAAGGCAAGCCGACGAGATCGGTGAGTACATCATGAAGTGCAAGAGCGACTTCGAGGCGTTCCATATAGACTGTGTGGGGATGCAAACAATGTTTGATTCCCCCGACCTCGAGAGTTGTTCCCGAGTCTCGAAGTTACACACCGGAAACCCCGCATGGCATCCATTTATAAGCACATCGATCATACGTATACGCCCAATTTAGATTGGTCCGAGGATCCTAGTTTTAATCGCAGGTTGCCAGGCCAGACTATAGACCCACCTACCTAATCATTAGTTTAACTTTATTTTCTACCTACCCACGTGCAGCCGCGCACACCCACACCGGCCTAGCCATGTGCTCTTATATACATATTTGCGCATACACACATATCTAAACCTGCACGCATACATGCATACAGTACACACATGCATACAGTCGGGCACGCAGACATGCAAAATTATATACATGCATTCATACTAGTACATACAAGCGAGGGGTTCAGGGATTTGGGAAGAAGGTTCCAGGCACTTCCCGCTGATCAAGCGTCCACAAACCAAGGAGCGTTCCAATCTATAGGAGCCCGAAAAGTACCAACACAGCTCTTCAGAAAGGTTTCGATCTTGTGGATTACAGCTATGCTCGACTAGATGCCCTAAACCCTATATAGTCTAACTAGGGAAGCGACGGTGCAGCAGCCGCGCGGGAAACACAGAATTGCTGTCACAGAATCCACCCCCTATGCCCGACAACGACGCTCTAAGCCTTTATCAAACTCTATGGTCATCAAACCCTAAAGCTTCAAAAAGGAATATCCCGAACCCTACCTAAACCCTGATCCCTAAAACCCGCCCGCCCAGCCGCGACGTAAGCCCAGACCGCAAACCAACCAACCCCCGTGCTGCCGCGTCCCGAAGAGGCTTGCCAGTCCGCCACAGACCATGCCAACGCCTTCATTCAGTCGAAGAAGCGCCGCACGCACCTTAGGTGATGGATGCTTTCTCTCTCTCTCTCTCTCTCTCTCTCTCTCTCTCTCTCTCTCTCTCTAAATATATGTATCGTGCTTTGGCGCTAAAGATTTTCCGACTTGCCCAGACGAAGACAAAGTGAAACGCGACGCCGAGAAGCTGGAGCAACGTGAGGCCGAGAAGAAAAAAAAGGAGGAGGAGGAAAAGGAGAAGGCTAAGCAAAAGGAAGCCGCATGGAAGCTGCTTCATGATGCACACTCCAACGCGGAAGGGAGCAAGCGACGCCGGATGACCAAAGGGCCCGCAGAGTGAGCGTTTTTTCCGAAGTTTTGCAGCCGAAGCGATCGGTACGATCCATGGACCAAACCACCCAACCTAGCCTGCCCCTAGGTTCAATCTGTATGTCGTTGCCTCATTTGAACTACTTCCGTTTCTTCAGCTAAGGATGACTAGAGGTCGTATGCCCTGTAGCTCGGTTATTCAACCTTTTTGCGATGTAAACCCATCATCCTGTCCGCCATCAGATATTGCTAGGTATGTATTAGCAAGTCAATAGAATAATGCACAGGCATACATGTACATATACACAGGCAGGATATAAAAGGCTGGAGTCCACGCTTCGGGCACAAGCCTGCCATAGACGAACTGAAGTGATAGATTGTGATACTTCGATTTCCACAAGTTAGCGGAAGACCCGATCAAACAGGCACCCATACAACTGAAACATGAAGGCAGGCATACGGACATATATACATGGCATACATCTTTTTACACGCATGTACATGCACATACTACAAATGTCCTCCCATACATACACATGCATGATTATATGTACATATGTATACATGCATTCATCTTCGTTTTTTGGTACTCGTAGGTACACTCGGTGTAGCTGTATACAAAAGCAGCCGGTAGCTTATTTCTATTGCTAGGGTGTTATCTGATCCCGTGCCATCGGCCCTATAATTGTTCAACCCTACCAAATATCTGAATGGGCCGTTCGCTTGAGCTTGGCTGGATTGCGAAGCAATCACCAATGGGGCCCTGCAAGTGCAGCTTCGGAACTACTTATGTGAGTCAAGCACAAGCGTTGAGACCAGGATTCAAGATTGTTGCTGCGGGGATGCAGGGATTACAAAGACCTCGGCCGGGCCTTTCGATCAGCATCAAAGTCGACCGTGACTCTTTTGTACGTAGGCCCATCTTGCGAAACATGTCGCCCCAGGATGGAAAAAGCAAGACCTTTATCTGCCTGCCTGCATTGAGTGTTTATTTGCTTCAGCAGTATCCTCATGCCATCCTCCTTCACCCTGCCTACTACACGCTTGTTATGCGCCAGGAACCGAATCCGCGGATCGGAGTGGAGGGCCTGATGAAGGATCTGTTCAAGATGTTGGGGGCCGGTGAGGCCATGCCAATATGACTCTGAGATAGAAATATCCAGCAGACCCTTAAGTACCCTTCAAATGCAGGTAAACATTGACAAGATTCGAACGATGGTGAGTCCGGGGCCAAGCCAGTCGCCGTGGCAAACTACGTTACCTACATAGTCCTGTCTATGTGAAACAGGGCGCTTCGAGAGATTTCCAGAGCAGCTGGTACCGATCCGACCTCAGCGGGCGCAAACATTCTGGGTACGTCCGCGCTTGAAGTTCGGAGTGTTATAGTTTGGGTGCTTGGTCACCCGAGGAGTGAGATCTTGGACCTTGCGAACAGGTTTCGAGGCGCATCCTCTTCTTGGGGTGGTGACCGGGCGTTGACGGCATGGACTATGCAACAAACCTGGCGCAAGTGCCTCCCAGCTCCATACAAATTGGAGCTTCCGTGTGTCTCCTGGTTTCAAATGTTGTGCCGAAAGAACAGTTAAATTTGCCGTAGCTGACATAGGTAGACGTCGTCTACAACTGTATTGTTTTGTGTTCGAGAACCCACATTACAAGAATATACTTAATTGGTCATTAGCAACACTGGATAATACTCGCCCGATTTTCCTTCTTAAGCATACCCTGGTTCCATACCCAAGGAACATATGGACCGTATGGGTAAGACGCAGAAAACCCTCAAGCACACGATCTTCTTGCCACATGAGATTATGGCTTCGATGCACGAATCCGGCCCAGCATACTTTGATCGCTTCCTGCTCGGGCAGAAGAACGAGAACAGTGTCCCCTGCTCTGATGTTCCATCAACGGTTGAGGCTGTTTTCTCTACGTTCATGATATTATGGCTACAGTGCTAACCCTTAATCCTGTGACCCCAAAGTATCTCTAAGCTGAAAAGTAGCGTCTTGCCGCAGGCCCAGTCGCTGGAACAGCATTGGGAGCGTGAGCGGGCCATTGATCCATCCTTTGTGGAGTGGCTTGAGTCAGAAGACATAGATTTGAGTCATGCCGTACCACTACGGGTATATGGAGATGGAGCTCAAGCTTTGCGAACCTCTTCTAGCTGTAGCAATCCAGTTTTATGTTTGCGGGTGTCGTATCACAACAACCTCGTGAAACACAGGGGCTACGCAGCCCTGGCTAAAAGATAAATACCCAGTCGTGGACTTCGAGTACGTATACATACAGTGAACAAGAACCGGCCAGAAACGGCATGCAGCAAGGTGTACGTACTCGTACAAGAGCAAAAGTACGAATTTCACCGTCTATGCTTCATTCTCGGATGTGTGCAGAACGAGCCAGTTAACCGTGCATCTAGTCCACACAAGTCACAAATGTACAAACCAACACGAAAGAAGTAAGTCAATCCGTACATGTGTATGGAAAATAGCTGCAGTATATAGATAGGTTTAACATAACCCATTTAATTTACCCAGTTATACATGTTATATACATATATTTTAAGTATAGATATATGTGTATTGTACTTATAATCTTCAGTTGGTTTGTTGAAAGTATGTGTTTTGCAGAGTGAACACGAGAATGATTATGCCTGAGTCTCAGTACCATCTGCAATCGTATTGCATCTATGCTTACCTCGCTACATTAGAGCAGTATTGCTCCATATATTGAAACGACCGAGATATGATCATCGTATGCAACCATGCGGTTTGTATATAGATCACATATGTATGGTGTACGGGTCCACAACAGTCTGTGCGTTTCTTTGCTTAGCAACCTCTAGGGTTTTCTCTTAGGTTCATGCATACCTTATATTACCTACCCTGCACCCCTATTTGGTTGTTGCCGCCAATGGCGAATAGTCTGTGTGTTTGTGTACTCACCGATTCAGTTTGCTTTGCACTCATTAGCCCCAGCACCAAGCTAGGACATCAAAGCTTCGAGATTTTCACCTTGGCACCTGTTCTGGCTGAAGCATCACCACTGTCGAGCCGACTGCTGATGAGCTGTACCAACTCAACTATGTGTTCTGACGCCTGCCGAGATGAAGTGATGTCTGCTATTGCCTGGTCCTTCCAGCACCTCTGTGACCGAGCTTGTTCAGTACTGGCCGTAGGTAGACGAACCGGTTGTTTATGGTTGATTCGATCAATGCAGTAAATAGCTTCCCCAGCCCCGCCCCAGAACCCTATACGTAACCCTATATATGTAATCCTACCAGGCCGGGGTGTTCACCCGGAGAAGGATCATCGAAACCAGCCGTTCACAGATCGGTCCCGAGCGCGCAAAGCTGGATCTCGCATAGCTGGCCAATACGTAGGAATATTGGACGGCTTCGAAGGCGATCAGGACTTTATGAGACTGGTATTTCATCTGAAGCGTGTGCCTCCCAGTTGATCTACCTGTCATCATGTTGCAAAGATAGGATAGCTCATGGACTATGTTGTACCGTTATTTGCAGGATGTACGTAAATATGTACCCAACAGATCATCTGGTACTGCCACGTTATGTTGTGTTTTGGAGCGGCATATGCATGCATATATGTATATACCTTGCAGATGCGACCGCATTCGCCCGCTCGTGTGAGTGTATTGCAAGACGAGTCTCCGTGTGTGCATTTGTCCGTGTGTCCGTTACTCCGTCTCTCTATGTATGCTTCCGCATGAGCAAGCACGTACTACATGTGTTTAGGCATGCATATGTGTTGGTAAAGAAAGACACGGCTGGCGAATGCGCGAGAGAGAGAGAGAGAGAGAGAGAGAGAGAGAGAGAGAGAGAGAGAGAGAGAGAGAGAGAGAGAGAGAGAGAGAGAGAGAGAGAGAGAGAGAGAGAGAGAGAGAGAGAGAGAGAGAGAGAGAGCGAGAGAGAGAGAGAGAGAGAGAGAGAGAGATAGAGAATGGCTGGATAGATAATAATATAGATAATATAGATAGAATGAATAGATACATAGATACGTGAGACAGAAGCCCAGCGAGGAAATCACGACACGCGTGTGGTGGGTAAGCGGGTGAACGAGTGTGCGAGTGGGTAGCGAGCTAGATTAGAGGATGCGCAGGCGAGGAAGTGATGAGTGAGGGAGGACGTGTATGTGTGTGTCTGTGTGCGTGCATTCATGTGCGTGTGTGGTAGGGACTGACAATGTGCAGCCGAGGGACTGCATCATCCAAAGAAGTGTGCTACTATTGCAGAGCCAACGGTCTTAAATTAGAAACCCATGCAAATACTTATGTTTCATCGATTTTTTGGACTCGTGAGATTATAGGCCTTAACATAAAGGTATATCTTAGGGGTGATTCCGTGGGATTGATGTCTCAGGCACTGAACGTTTCAATTCCTGATGCTGCACCAGATGCTGCAGACGAGGAAGCGCCGAATCCAGGGATGCTGTTCACCGCCTTCGGCCGGAATGCTCTGCACAGATCGACGAACCTCAGATGGTCAAACCGAGGGCCAAAATCTTGTTCACACACCCACATGACCCTTAAGCGTGTCTGCCGCAGCCCAAACCAGAACCACTAAAGATTGAAATCGTATAAAGTGTAAACGATGTGCTGATCGTAGAGGCGATGACTTGGTATTGCAATTAACAGAAAGGTTTGGCCTGATTAGCCCTCGATCAACTCTTACTGTGTAGAAAACCCATCGACTGGAACTATGTGCAGTGCCTAGATAGGAGCTTAGATAGGAAGTTGGCGAGTTGTCCGAATCGTGCCGCTCAGGTCCCAAATGCTTCAGTTCATATTGCGTTTGCAAGCTATGTTAGAATAGAGGATCGACTCGTCAAGCCAAGGCTGACAAATGTGGACGAATTTGTTGCCGTCCATGGGGCGACGCCTTTTACAACGATTCCGTTCTTTAGTGTCTCCCGCAGCCTGTAGATGACTTCTGGATCACTGCTTTTTTTGCTTGGGTCTTAAGAACACCTGTGGTTTATAGCAGTTCTAGCAGCCGGCATTTGGCTTAACGAAGGCTTGAAGGTCTCTTATTGATACGCATTCGTTCTATGCAAAGCCTTGTAGCTACTTCTTTAAGCTACTATTCATAAAATGTTCGCCTTTCGAGGACTGACACATGCTAGATTAACCATGCCCTTAGAAGACAAACCAAGGCATATTTCCGGACCCTATGCACATTATTGACTTGACCATAGTGCCAGATCTAGCCATTGCACTACTTCTCGATTGGACAGACGACAAAAAGTTCGTTGATGAGAGTAGCCGGCAACTACGCTTGCAAAGATTGGGCGAGGACTATCGCTCTTGGGTCGGCAACTCCAGCGACCGGGCCAACCAGAAGTTGTTTACAGTGGATGTGCTCAAACCAGGATCGAATGCATTTGCTGCAGTATCACAGCACTTCATCAGCGCAGCTGCTGCCAGGGGACTGCTTGTCTGGCTGTCAAAGGTCGCAGACCATTTCGCCTCAGAGAACCCAAGCCGTGAGGATTTGCCACGCGAGCGTTGAGTTAGAACGTGATTTCAGGGAACTAACTTAAGATCGTTTGTTGTGTTTGTCCTTGCAGGATTGGGTCATCTGCTGTGCATGTGTCAGGCTACGAGCAGGGCTTTGTTCGGGGCTGCAAAAGATGCAGCATGTGATGATGACCAATGAGAAACTGGGCTTCTGATATTAGCGTTGGAGGGAATTAGCATCGAACTTCTTTTTTCGTGACTAAATAGTCAGTTCCATCCGGTATGTTATATCACTCTCATGAAAAGTCTGCTTCGAACGCTCAGTACCCGTGACCTAAGGAGATTGTTGGCAGAACAAGACCGAACCTGCCTCGAACATTATTATGTTCTTTTTCGTTGTGCGCTCAGCAAGCTGGCTGCACACTCCCTGGAAAAGTCCCAGCTCAGATACCACCTTCGACCAAAGGTCCATCATATGGAGCACCTAGTTTACGATCACGCTTGCTATGGGCGAAACTGGCGTTATCACGCTTGCTACTTCGGCGAGGACGTCATTAGGCGCATAAAACGGATGGCATGCAAGACGCACCCTAGCACTACAGGCTTGCGAGTTCTCGAACACTATGCTTTGTTCGTGTGCTTGACATGGGCCGGGCTGCTCGAAGACGACGACTGATGCTAGCAAGCTGCAGAAAAAAGCTTTGATCACTCGCGACCAAAATCCAGAGGCGCAGCAGCGATCATAGCCATAGCTGCTGTAGCCCTGTTTATAATAGGGTTTAGGTTTCCGTTTGCGTAAGTTGTAGATCTCAAGGTCACCAGCTAATGATCGGGGCTCGACCTACTTGAATCCTCTTCATATCTACGCAGGCATCCAATACCCTTCGTTTTAAGACTTCTACGCTGCAACAAACGCTTGATCATAACGATCCTTGCAAGCACTTTGACACTGAGTTCTTAGCGCTCAAATCCTTCAGGCTGCCAGACGGCAGCAGTTTGAACCCGTCATGAAGCCCGAAAGCGTTGTCGCGGCGCTTGCACTTCTAGAAACGTCTTTGTGCTGAGACTGCGGGTGGCGAGAGTGATGGTGATAAGATCGCAAAGGGGACGTGATGATGATGGTGGTGGAGATGGTGGTTTTGTGTTGGTGGTGAGGAAGAGTGGCGATGATGTGTGTGAAGATTAGACTGCTGCATCGCGTGCCCGAGGCACTTCCCTTGCCGAGCCTAGACATATGCCCAATCCTCCACGGCTGTTCGTGTGGGTTGATCATGGGGCTCGAGATGGGGGGCAACTAGAGAAATTCTGAGTTGTTCCCGGGGCATGAACCTAGGATCCAAAGTATCAAGGTTCAACCGTCCAGGGCTTCAGAACTTTCTGGTTGCAGCGTTGTCGGGCTTCAGTACTCATTCTCGTTGTGTGCATCCTGAGATAGATACTGGACGGATCCTTTTGAGTGATGTTTTCTCACGGATTGCGAATGGGGGTTTAGGGTATGGGAACAGGGTTGAAGATTGGAATCTTTCGGTGCTCAGCTTCTAGGAGTAAAGGAAACAAGTGCATCCTCCAGACCCTTACGGAACGCGACCCTGTCACAAGCAAACAAAAGAACCAGTAGTAAAGCCCAATAGTCTATAAACTTTCCAACCCTAAATGAAGATCGTTCTGCTCGCCCTCCGCGCAAGCAGCTGCCAGAGTATTGTATAATTTTCATTGATTTCATGGTTTGAGGCTGGGGGCCAAGGATGTTGGTGGGCAGGTTTCCGTGGTTCGGTGTATGTGTCACAGACCCTCCACAACCCTAACCTCGTCCCAGGAACATGTGTAAACAGTTCTGCAGCCTGGACCCTGTTCTCGAACGCCCTGTCAAAGGCTTGTACGGGCTCCAAAAGTGAAATCAAATATCCAAAGTAGTTTCGTTCCCAGATCCTGTTCTATAGAATTGGGCTTTCAACTGCCGTACTGCATGGCTATGAATGGATCCCAAAGCTTCATTCAATGCTTTAAATAGGTGAACATTCCGACAGCAATCCTCGAAATGTTTGTTCGCTTTGCACACGGATCCTCCGGACAACTGTCTGGCCTCTGAGCAAACCTCGCGACCGGTGTTTAACACGTGCAGCAACCCTCGAAACAAGCGCGGCTTTGTCATGCCGATATTGTGAAAAAAGTTTTTCATATTGCAAATTTGTTGCTTTCAAAGCATCACCGACGTTCGTTAACTTTCGCAGCGGCCAAAAACGTGTCCAAACGTGTCTGCGGCCACGTGCCCTTACCCGGCCGCGTGTCACCGGCCACGTGCCGCGGCACATGGCCGATTAGCCCGTCCTGGCATACCGGGCAATAAGCTTGCGCCGGTTGGTCCTGCCAGTCTTTGCAGTGGCTGCAGCTGAAAGTACCATGCGGTGCGTCCGCAACGGCGGTGTTCCACTGAAAACGTCGTCGCGCTCGTGGTCGTTGATCTCTTGGGCTACGCAGCGACTGCGCACCCCATTCGGATCATTGGGCAATGGTTTCCAACCATCCACCCACCGGCTTCGGACTATCTTTAGCCCCTGCCGTCGCGCCTCCTCCCAAGAGATGTCCTTCTTGACAGAGTGTTCCTCCATCTTGTCCAGCTCGCGCCCTCTTGCAGTCTTGACCTTGTCAACGGGAAGGGGCTGGCCTGTTCGCTCGTCGTAGGCACCAAGCTCCTCCACTCTGCCGTCCAGAGGGTAAGCAAACAAAGGCTCCCACTCGCCTTTCTCGTGGAGCGTGGGCAGTCCCCCCATCAACTCCTGGTCCTGAGGACGCTTTTCACCTCTTGCTTCTGGCGTCTTCTGCTTCTTCGCTCCTTGTGAGCTCTTTCCAGTAACGCGGCGCTGCCCGCTGTCACTTGAAGGAGCGGGGACACCCGCATCCTCAACCTCTCGCTTCTGGCCTGACTTAGCCTCAGAGGTCCCCTCCATGGCCCTTGGCCTTGAAGGCTGACTCGGCTCGGTGCTTCCCGACTCCAAGTCTTGGCCGGTGCCCTGGGGCATCTCGGCCTGACCTCCTTCAGTCTCCATGGGTCCCGCAGGCGTCCCAGGGACTGGTGTACCAGGCCTTCCTGGCACCGGTTGCCTCGGGTACAACTTCTCGAACCTCTTACGGCACTCGTCGTTGTGCCGCTTTGGGTTGTCATCGTCACACTCACAGCCACGCTCCAAGGTGATATACACCGAGGGCTGCCTGCGACCTGGAGTCGCTGGGGCCTTGTTGTCTGAAGGCACGGTGGTTGGCTCTCCGCGCGGTTGCCAGGGAAGCCCAACCATCCCCTCGAGGTGTTTCAGCTCCCACCTCTTCTCTTCTGGCCTTCGCCAGATGCTTCTGCACCGACGGATCCCCTGAGCAGTGCCCAGGAAGTGCTCGTCGGAGGCAAGAGACTTGCCTAGCCAAACTCCAACTGACGTTTGCTTGTCCAGCTTGCCAGTCTTCTCTTTGTCAAGCTTGTAGTGCACGACCTCGCAGCACTCAGCAACTTCACCGCGGAAGTCCCGGCCTCGAAGCCTTTCGTAAGGTGTTCTCCCGTCCTGCTTCACCAAGAAACGGGAGATGAGCCACCCTGCGTGCCGCACCAACCACGGAAAGACAACCCCCTCAGTCTCCAGGGGCTTCTTGTAGCGATTCTCCAGCGCGCTCGCAAGAGTTCGCACCTGACGCGCCAGCTCCAAAATGGCTCGCTCGGCCGCGCCGTTAGATGCGTGAGAACCTTTCGGTGCAGTCTGGTGCTGCACGCTGCCAGTCCAGGACTTGGCGGCACTTTCAGCAAGTGCCCGGATGCTATGCTCAGCATCGCTCATCATGATGACCTTTTGGCGCCCGCAGAACTTGAGCGCTTCAGTCACCAATCCAGTGGCATACGGGTTAACGCCCTTAGCCACCACACCAGAGAAAACACAACCGGACTTTTCGTCCACGATCACCAGAATGGGAAGGAGACCATCCTTCTCATCCTGAGGCACCTTGACCTCCTCCACGGAGTTCACTGGGCCCTTCAAGGCCCGTCCCAGAAAACAGTAGTCCAGGGAGATGCGCGCCACCTCCGACGCGCGACCGCTGGGCTCCCGAGCTGAGTGCGCATCCTCACGCACCTTGCCGTGCATGCAGTGATCGCACCAGCTTCGCATGGGCAGATGCGTAAGCATATGCTCGTCAAACTCGGCTTTGCTAACCGTGTCCGGGATCTTCTTTGTCTTCGGCCGCCGCGTGGCCTCAGACACTTCCATTGGCACGTCGCCAATCTCCGGAAGCCTCTGGGCGGGGCCACCCGCGCCAGGGCCGTCAGTAGAACTCCCTGCGCCGGCGGAGTTACCCGCACCAGGGTTCGCAGCGGAACTCCCCGCATCGGCGGGGCCGCCCGCACTTGAGCTTTGGCCCGGCTGAGCGGAGTCACCCGCTTCACCAGGCTCCTCGCCTTCACCTGCCAGCGCCTTTGCTGGCACCGTCTTCTTAGCAGCCCTCGTAGCTGCTAACACGTCTGGGTCTTCAACCCTTTCACTTTCTTTCACCACGTTCACTGGGAGCCAAAATACCCCTCTCTTCTTTCTGAGTTGCATCGTGTCTTTGGTCTCTCCTAGGGCTTTCCTAAGCTTACACGCATGCTTATCTAGAACCATACACTGCACACCGGGGCCAATCACCGTCCAGGTGCCTTTCGTGGCCGCTTGGCCAGCAGAAAGCACCGAAAACCTAACCTTTTCAGACTCGGCGTACTCTACCGAAAAGGTCCCAGCACTGGTTTCGAGCTGGCTCCTAAGCCTCTGGTCGCTAGCCAAGGGCTCACCCGTAACGGTAACCATTCCAGGCCCCGAAACACGAGAACCCAACAAAGCACCGGAGTCAAACCCTTTCCGAAACAGGTGAGACCCTGCCCCCGTATCTACAAGAACCTCGGTCTCACTGGCCTCGGTGCTGGGCGTTGCCGCCACCACACCAAAGCAAAGGTCCGGCTCCTGAGGCGATGCAGACATGGGCTCTGGTTCTTCCTCGCCCTCAGCGGGGCTAGCCGCATGAGGTGTGCGGTTCTTCCCG